GCATGTTCACGTGTTTGACCACCACGTTCAAAACCAGTTTCAAATTCACCTTTACGAGCTGATATTACCTATAGAAAAAAAAAAATATTTTTTTTTTACTTTCGAAAAAAGTCAATTTCATAAAAAAATAATACAAGAATAGCAATATCCACATTGCCTATAGTAGCAATTCGATTTCTACTCCAGAATCTATAATTGATTTGACCGAGAACATTGCAACGTTTTCTCATTGTTTCAAACCAATGTCGATGGCCTTCAGCCGCTTGTCCTTTTCTTTCTTCATATTGACCTGATTCCCAAGATGAATATAACAATTCACGTGCTTCATTTCGATATTTTTCTAATGTCTGTTGATCAACGTGTCCCATAGAAAACCTACGAATGAAAATATTTCAACTACATGATTCGTTTTTATAAAAATCTTTACATAAGTTGTGCATAAATAGTTGATATTCCAACATCAATATGTCCACAAAAAAGAACATCAAGTGTTTCGCGTTGCCGTATAATATCACGTTCAACAACAATATTTATTGCTTCTTTTTGAGTTGTAAATTCATTGACTGCTCTTGCTTTATTCGTTGTTAAATCGTCAGACACTTCTAAGCATTAAAACAACAATCTAAATTGTTTCTGATTGTCTTTACGAGAAAGATCATTACCTATGTCAGTTATGGTATTTCGTTGAATTATTTCTTGTTGATCATTTAATTCTGTAAGTTTAATATGTCCTTCTATTTGTTTCTTTTCATCTTCAATTGTATTTTTAGTAATAACAGATGTTGATATTGTAGAAGCACTTGTTGATTCTGACGCAATTGATGGTGAAAATTCTACAGTATTAACATTTAGTTTGTCACATTTTGTATCTGTTAATGATGAACAATTATCTTCTTGTTGTTGATTCCACGTAATTGATGGCTCAATCATTTTATATTTTGTTAGTTTCAATTATTTTGTCTCTGATGCATTTTATGTAATCGTATAAATTTCGAAAGACGATCCGTATTTACTTTCGCAAGAAAAAAGTTAATGTAAGAATGGTTATGACTCACTTAAAGACAGTTTTAGTTTGATGAAAAACAACCAATAGTTTTTTCGTATAGCATTCATTAATCTGTTACTTTTTTATTTCATACATACATATCGCACAAAATTACCTTTAGGAGTTATTGATATGATTTAAATTCTCTGAATAGTTATATAGATATTTTATCTATTAACCCTTTTTTTCCCATTGTTAAAGGTTAAGATCTGGAACTGAAATTCGTCTAGTATTGTGATTACAATAGTCTATAATATGTCCACGAAAATTTTGAATCAAATCTGTCAAGTGCACATCTAGTTAACGTATTAAATGTTCAATAAATTTTATTTTATAGAAAAACTTATAAAAGCTACGACAAAATGGATACAATGGCACTAGTATTGTAAGCTTGAACATTATCTTATAACACGATTCTAGCATAGACCATAACATAGTATATTTGTTTGACTAGCAAATAAAGGATTTATGAAGATTGTTGTGTTCGGATTATTGATATTAAATTAGTTTCTATATGTCTTATATTTCAAGAGAATGAAGCTTCAAAACAAAATGATACCTAAAGGTGCCATTGAGAAAGAAAGGTTAATAGGCAATACAATACAAAAACAAAAGCGATAAATGGTAACTTTTATCATTTCGAAGTAATAATACAGATTAATAGTTGTCTGATTTGTATAGATTGTTCATAATTCATATATAATATTCAAGGAAAATGAAAGACTACTTCAGTTGTTTTCAACACATCCGTCAATTTTTCAGAAAAAAATCTTTAAAATCAATTAGACGGTTTCAACATAATAAAATTGTTAGAGAAAATCTTGAAAATCATTTCAGCGGAAAAAGACGAATCTTATTTCTCATTCTAAAATGTCCTCTATATTACTGTTAATTCATCCTAAAAAGTGAAGAGAGAATCAAAGAACTATGTTCTCTAATTCTCAATTTACTTTACTTCTTCTTCAATAATTTTCATATGTCATCGCAAATAGTTCAACTAGTGCTATTATTTTTATTGACTTGAAATTTGTAATTGATCAATATGTTAGTTTCACGACCATCTAGATAAACTATGCGAGACAGAAATTACTAAATCGTATGCTAAAATAGATTTAATCATGCATAAAATAAAGATCAATTTAGAGTTAATTTCAATTAACAGACAAGACCATAATTAAACATAAGCTCATTATCTCGATCAACAAAAGCCTCATTCTTAGTTCTGATTGTGGCAACAATTTTCTTTCCAAAAAGCTTAAAATAATTATCGACCACTGTCTATAAATTCAAGACACATTGTTACAATATTGTAACTTATTCATTTTCTAATATCATTCTTCTTGTATACTCAACTAGACATAAACAGAATCAATTACTTTTATTTTGGCTTCAAAATAGAGATAAATTTATCCATATTATTTGACAAAGGAAGATGAGACATCTCCAATCGCTCTATAATCATCATTCATCGAACTTAATTCAAGTTATAGAAGGTTCAAAAAACATTTTTCTCTTCTTTCTATTAAAAATTTCTGTTATTAACATATTAGATGGTTTGGAACCTTCTGTAAATAAAATGCAGTTTTATGAAGGAACATCGTGTAGGGATATGATCTTAGTTGTCCGCAGACTCTCATCTCAGCAGTTTCGTTGAAGTCTTCTAGCATACCACTCCTAATAGAGAATTCTTTCAGCTACACAAATATTTTTTTTTAGATTCTTCTTAGCTATTACCATCGAGAAGAAAGCTTAAAAATACAACTGTTCTAAACTTAGGTCTGTCTCTATATATGTTCGGGAGCTGTGAGTCCTTCCAGACCTCGATCTGGTTCACAAAAACAGGGGCCCGAAATTTCCTATGAGTAAGTATAGATCAGCATTAAAACTTTTTTTTGCAAGACTTATAAAATCGATATCATTAATTTTTTTTAATGATCGATACTGAAGTGCTGCAAATTCAATACAAGCAACTTTAATTTCTTTCTTCACTCTCTGTCTGAAATCGTTAGTTCATTTTTTGAAGATGCACAAAATCGATTGATTCTTGTTTGAAACATCGGAAACTATCGTTTTTCCTATTTTGATAACTATGAATATACTTATATAGTGAATTAGTAAAAAAATATGATTCATATATAAGTATATCTTCAAATTGATTGCATAGAACATATTCTTCCATGAAATTAAGAGTATTACATGAAGATAAAGATTTTTATGTCTGCATTGATTTGGTGATTTTCGATAACGAATTTTTTTACCAATGGAATTGTTCAATTTTCTTTTTCTTTTTTAACTGAATGTTGACTTTTTTTCTTAGAGTAGTCAGTAAATAACTAAAATGTTGATCATTCGCTTGTTTGTGGACAAAGGGTGTACGTGTGATTGAAGAAAAACACATGTTCAGATCTGTCGGGTTCAAATCCACAAATATATGAATCTACAGTTCTATTATATGTGATAGAAAAATAAGTATTTTAATGATTATAGTTATTTGTTTTTTTATTATTTCGAATGCAAAGATGTATCTTTTTTTTCATTAACACATTGAAGAAAAGCTAAAGCTCTTAAAAGACATTGAGCCATTGGTTCTCGTTGTCCTTTTATTGTTTTATGATAATTTATTTTTAATTGATGATCTATATCTAATGATATCATTTGATTATTTTCTGTATTATTAAATATAAGATTAGTAAGAAAAAATTCTGCACTTGATTGTTCATTGCCAATGAATAATCCAAAATTTAAAGCAATATCTCTTCCTGATATATGATAAACTGAACGTTTTGATAATGAATTACAATGAAGTAATGTATTTAAAATAGCACGAATTTGTTGTAATTGTGATACATATGCAGCTAATTTTATATTTGGATAACGATATGTTGTTTGTTCAACAAGAAGAACATCAGAATCTTTTAATGGAATTGTTGAAAGACCATTGGATAACTTAAATGAAAATTTTTGAATAAAAAAAACAAATAAAAATAAATCAACAAACTTGATTAAATGTATTAATAAAATTATATTTTCTATCCAGATCAACTTTTAATGTATTCCATTGTTTGACTTGAAATTGATTTTTATGATTTGTTGTTTTAACCATAGCCCAATTGATATGTGACGATGTATAATCGAGACTACATACACTTTCAATATCCTACAGAAATCCAATTCTATTTGTACTTTCTTGAGAAAATTAATTTACGGCGACATTTTTTGGTGTTAGACGAGGTTCAATATAAATTCGATGTTGTTGATTATCATTTCGATTTTTTAATGATAATAAATAATCAAAGAATTTATCAACTTAAATTATAAAAATAAAAAAAATGAAAAATTTTATAATTTACTTGCAGAATATTTACAATCAATTTGAAATTTTGATTCATTTTTAAATTGTTCTAAAGAATGAAATTTTCCGCCTAATGTACGTTTTAATTGACGAAAATTTTCTATTTGTTCTTCATTAAATATTTTCATTAAATCTTTTGTTTTTATTTTATTAAGTTCATCAATTAAATTGATTTCTCTTGATTTTAATCGAAATGATGAATAAAATTTTATTCTTGGAACTAATAAACGTATAAATAACATCAGAAAAAAAAACAAAATCTGCAAACGAAAGAAAAAGGATTTTTATTTCTTTTTTTTTTCTCGAAATCAGATGTGTAACAAAAGACTTATCCGTTGATTTTTTTTTTCAAACAAAAAAAGAATAAATATGAAATAACAACAAACAAATAAAGTTTTACTCGATTATTTTAAGAACTTTACCAACTGCAACTGTTCGACCTTCATCACGTAATGTAAATCGACCAAGTTGAGGAAAACGTTTAAATGGTTCCATACAAATTGCTTGACCTGTTTGTGATAATTCAAATCGTGCTATTCCAACTTGATCCTGTTTTATAAAACGTGGATGTTCTTGAGTTCTATCACCTGTTTTACGATCAATTAATGTTATTAATTTTTTTAATTGAACTTCAACAGCTGCTGCATGAATATGAAGAACAGCAGAATAACCAGGACATATTATTGATTTATGTTCAATTATAGCAATCTATTTTTATAAACAAAACTCATTTATTTAAATATATTCTTCTATTCAAAGAAAATTTTGTCTTTTTACATAATGTGCTACTATCATCAACAAATCTCTTCTACACATATACTATACATTAAACATTAATCGGAATATATTTACAAAAAAAAAATTCCTTCATCTCAACTTGAATAGCGTCACACTTAGAGATGTGAGTGATCAAAGATTTTTAGGTTCTGATCTCACTAATTTTTTTTTCTAATTCTTCACGCTTTCGTCTCAGTAAATCTAATCTATTCATTCATGTGAAGAGAAAACTAATTGATATCGATCATCGTTGGATTGTGTTTCTATTGATATGATTTATGAGATAATTCGATTTAAATCATAGAGTGTTTTACTTAATCTTTAGTTTTGTTTGGGATAACTTTTTTCTCACAATCCCAATCAGAATCACCAGGACCAGGACTAAAATTCATCTTGCATATCTCTAGTTATAATATAAACAAAGTAATTTAAACAATCTATCATATCATTCACTTTATATTTTTTTCTTTTCGTCGAATACAAAAAATCTCTTTCATATTATAGATCTTTTGTCAAACACGAAATGGTTATTTATTTCACAACTTACTTGGGCATCAAATACTCTTCCAACACCACATGGTTCTTGTTCAACATCACATAAAATAAATCCAGGAGAAATTTCCTAAAAAAATTAAAACTTATTAATAAATAATATATTATAAAGAATAAAACAAACTTCTTCT